GGATTAGGGCTTAGGGTGTAGGGTGAATGCTCCGGGGTTTAGGTCTTAGGGCTTGAGATTTGGGCAGCTCAGGGCTTTTGGGTGTAGGGTTCAAGGGGCGGAGTTGGAGGCTCGAAACCAGGTCAAAGATCAACAAACCATGTTCTAGACAAAATCCCAAGATATCCATGCTTGCGCCGGTCTAATCCCAGAAACACTACCACAAAAATGAAATGCTTGAAATGAAATCCTCAAAAATCACCGCCCGCCACCCACCTCTCGACCCCTAGCAAGATATCTTGCCCCTAACCTATGCTCACTATTTTTTTTGCACGAAAAAGACTTCAGTTACCCCCAACCTGCACAATGAGCACCCTATAACCCTCACGGAATCATAATAATCCTAATTTTAGGGGTAGAGGTAACGCTTATTTAGGGGGAAGAGGATGAAGGGTTTAGGGTTTAGGGGGAGGGATGAACAGAACCCCAGATTCGAAGCAGGATCACCACGAAAAGGATGTCAGGTAGGACGGCCCATGGGCTCCTCAATTGCCAATCCCGAGGGATATGTGGGGACTATATGAGGATCATGGGGGTCCGTGTGAAGGGTTCTAAAAGGAGTTTTTGAGAAATGCCCAACTGAGGTTTTGGGATGAGAGTATAGAATACGGCTCTGCGGCTTTAGACAAGAGGTTGAAGATTTCGGATTTTCCAGAAATTGGGGGGGGTCTCCTAATGTAGCCCGATATAGTAAAGCCTAGGGCCTAAACCCTAATCCTTGGGCTGGGCCGCACAAAAAAGAACCCCCTAAGTTTTGCAAGCTGGCTCCCTGGCCCAGTCACCCCAAGCGTTCTACGGGGCCATTTCATGAGATATAGGGCTATGTAAGGCTAAACCCTAGACCTTATATAGGCCTTTTTCCAACCAAGGTTCAGGATTTACACCCCCCAAAAACATGGATGGTTACCTTGCAAGAGCTTCGGCGTTTAGAATGTGCGTGTTGAAGCGAAGGAATGCACACGGATGCCCTTGAGTGAAGCAGGTGCGAGACGCGGTTTAGGGTGTGGGGAAGGAAGGCCACGTACTTATGTTATGTCGTGATGGAGTAAAGATGATGGCCGTGTGCTTTGCGTTGGCTCCTACCGGCCGAAGAGGGACAATCATGCACCTCACGCCTGGACTTTCCTGAAAACAAAGAAAAGATGACCATGTACCGCATGTCCGCCCTTGATTGGAGAGTTCAGCGGACACCAAACTTAATTTCAGTTACTATAATAAGGAAACCCGAGTATTTACTTGATACCCATATCATTGTAAGGCAATGTGCCATGTGTGCGCCTTCATCGAATAAACCATTGTCTTGGAAAGGAGAGCCTTTGATCAAGGCATTAAATTAACAGATATGATATGAGTATGTCACAAGCTGGGGTCCGCAGCTATGATCCTTAATTACTCCGCGGGCCCCCGAGAAGGTTCCTCTAATTACTGGAAACCTCCATATCATTAAACCCCTACACCCCTAGACCCTAAACCCTAAACCCCTAAACCCTAAACCCCTAAATCCCTAAACCCTAAGCCCCTGAACCCCTGCTCAAGCCTCCAGCTATTGATGCCTGCAGATGTTGGCGCATGACTGTAGTTGCTCCACGGCAAGACTGCGCCCTAAACCCTCGACCGCAAAACCATAACCCTAAACCCTGAAAGGCCCAAAACCGTAAACCCTAAACCCCAAAACCATAAACCCTAAACCCCAAAACCCTAACCTATGGCCAGAGAGGCGTGTAAGGACACGTGGGTTTCCCAAAAATAGGGGTACCTTTTTGGGGGTCCTTCAAATAAGGGGTATAGTAACTTGAAGTATGTTGGGGTCCCCCTGTTTAGGGCAACTACCACATCCCACATCCAAACGATATTTGTGGCCTAAAAATTGGAGCGAAATCTCCCAAACTGTTTCCTAATCACCTCCTAGCTTCTTGTAGGGCTCCGCAATCCAGGACTCGAAACGAAAGTAGAGCTGTATGAAGCCGTCCGTCTGCGCATTCCACTGGAGACGCTCGAAGGTGATCAGGTTCATATGAGCGTTGTAGAAAATTGTTTGATACTCCAAGAGTTCGGTCCTGTAATCAAACCAAAAGGACTCTGTAAGGTTCCTGATAGTTCTCTGGTGGATCCCAATATCCAAATGGTACGGGAGCACGATGTCCTCATCAGTCTTCACACCAAATCGATCACAGGTTCCAGTAAGTGCATTGAAAAGGAAGGAGTTCTCCTCGTTTGCGGGACACGGCCCTGACTGCAAGAATTCCTTGTGCAGACGGGACCCACCTATAATCTGGTTATACACAGCGACCCTGCCTGGGTATGGGTCCGACACCAAATCCTGCCGGAAGTACTTGGGCAGCCACGTGTCGTGGGTCCAGGCCATCTGCGTGAAAACGCCACGCCTGTTAGGAACCTTGGTGACCTTCCACAGCGTGTCCAAGTTCTCATGGAGTGTGTGGCCGGTCCGCCATGCACTCGTCGTGTCAATGTGTGTTGTAATAAAATAGGTATATGCGAAGAGCAGGAGGAAGACCGTTGGCATGGAGTACAGAGCACTCATGGTCTCATATTCCTCCTTCAGCCAGGCTAGCAAGTCTGAGCGATCACATTCATTCTGTTTCACTTCCTTCGGCCCTTTGCCTAGGGATTCCTTCAGAAAGTTGAAGGCCACTTGACCCGTAGTGAGTGCCTTCAGAAATTCCTCCGCAGACACTGTCCCGCTGTTGTCCTTGTCTGCATCTTCACACAGGTCCTGAAGGTACTGCTGTGAGACCTTCACATTTTGAACTTGTGTAAGGGCAAAGCATTCACTTCGAGTTATGTAGCCCTTCTCCCCGGGATCTAGGATGTCGAACACTGCTTGCACGTCCGCCAGCGTAATGTTGTGAAGATTTCCAGCTGCAATCTTGTCCCATATCTTCAGCTTCTGGAGAAGAATCTTGGTCTCCAAGGTCAGGGTCGGGATGTTAGGATCATCCATGGCGCCAAGGGGCTGGCGATAGCTGGCTAAACAACTGCGTGTTGAAATCAGGTTAAGATTACCGGCTACATGATGTCTCGGACTCGGCCAGTTGAGAGGCCATGCGCTGGTATACACTTGGCATCCTGATTTCTTTGGCTGGGTTGTCATGATATTGCGCTAGTTCGAACCTCATTTTGCTACCCATGAACCTTCCAGCAGGAGATCTATGCTCCCGTAAAGGCCTCTTCCCTCTTGACTCATGGGCACATGCTGCTGTCTTCCAAGCTTTACAATCATGAACTGTAAACTGGTCAAAGCTGCAGCAATGGGAAAGTGATCAGCAATCCACAGCAGTCTCTGTGGCTGGTGGTCTCTCTTTGCGGTCTTGCCGGGGTTTAAGTTGAGGTGTATGGTAGTTTCCCAAAATAAAGGGACCCCAATATAGACCCCAAAATACTATAGTCCTTATTATAGGGACCCCCCAAAAAGGTGCCCTTAATTTTGGGAAACCCCCGTATAGTTTGGGATTTAGGCCTCGAGTTCGTGGCTAAGGTTTCAGGTGTTGTTGGGCTGGAGAGCTTGGGAGTTTGGGGCCCATGAAGGGGTTATATTGGGGGTTATATAGGGTAATATAGGGGTTATATAGGGATTATAGGGATAATGGAAAAGAAAATGGAAGCTACTATTTAGGGTTTAGGTGATTTAGGTTTAGGTTTGGCTTCTTGCAGAGAGGGAATGAGTGGGAATCAGACCTGCAATCAGGCAAGGATTAGGTAGGTATTTTACGCAACACTGGTTTAGGCTCTAGGGATATTACCTGATAGTTGACGATCAAAGGGAGAAGAGCATGAAAACCGGTCGGGGAACTAGGTTGACATGGCGGTTTAGGCTTAAGGGGCTGGGCTATGTATGTGCATGACGAAACGCTAGGTCAATCTAGTTTTGTAATTTCAAAGGACTTTAAGATATTAAATGGTTGTAACTGGGTCTGCCCTACCTATACCCTAAACCCTAAACCCTAAACCCTAAACTCTAAACCCCGATAAGGATCCTCAGGACCAAGGTCTCAGGACCAAGGTCTCAGGCCCTGTAAGCCCAAGTAAGATTTGGGGGTTTCCTAAAATTGGGGGGTACCATTTTGGGGGTCCCCATAATAAGGACTATAGTATTCTGGGGTCTATATTGGGGTCCCCCTATTTTGGGAAACTACCATTTTCCGAGAGGTCTTTTTCTACAGAAACTGTTACGAGACGACAATAACGGATTACAATAGTACCCCCCCAAAGGTACCCCCCCCAGATTTAGAACCCTATTAGGCCTTATTAAGCCCTATATAGTCCTTATTTGCTCCTTAATCCCTGGTGTGGTTGTTTTTTTTTTTGTTGTTTTTTTTTGGGTGGGTGGAGGACGGGGGGGGTGTACTATTGTAATCCCTTACAAAGAATCTGGCTAAAACCCCCAAAAAACTTCCTTCTTTAAGTAGAGTCTGCTAGAAGCAGCCTGAGCTTACGAGCGCCTACATGTTGTACCTGCTATTGGTATCGCAAGGTACAGGAGTGCTGGGATAGGATAAACGGCCCCAAGGGATCATGGCAACTGGCGCAGCTGACACCAAGTGTGGCACAAGGCTGTTCCACTGAGTGTCCATCTTGGGCCTCAGTAAAAGTCTATAACTAAACCCTAGACCCTAAAACTTAGATCCACAGCAGCCTGTTAAGTTCAGGGACTAGATGCCTTGGGACAGGGAATATGGATGAATATGGAATTCTACTTTTCAGGACTTTGTGTCTTGGGGTAGGATTGCTGGTGGACGAGGGTAGGCGGCCCTAAACATGCCTATCATTGCTGCACGTAGCACCAGAAACTTGCTGTGACACGTCACCTCATGATGCACAGCAGCTGCGGGATCAACGCATCTGGGCCAAATATTAGGGTGTCGGGTTTAGGGTACATATTGCTACGACAACAGCGACGACAACGGCGGCGGGGACAACGACGACGCCGCTGACTACAATGACTACTATGATGACTACCGCGACGACTATTACACATATTACGAACATTACTATTACAACAACGTTATGACTATTCGGATGAGTATTTCCATGATTCACCCAGCTGCCAACGGAACATGAACCGCGAGCCGCGCATTGAACCCCACCTCATACATGGTGCTAGAAGACCACAGTCACAAGGCTTGCATACTTGTCACCTAAACTCTTAACCCTATACCTATACCTTGAATCCACGTAGGCGCTGTAAGCGGCACGTCCACCCTCCCACCTGACCCGGCCTCCCCCACCTCCCGCAGTCTCGTTCAAGCTACCATAATACGGCTACGGTGCTTAATGTTGTGTTCATCTAACCTGTAACGGAAGATACCCCCAGTTTCCATTTCACTGTCCGTTTTCTCATAGGATTCTTCCGGACAATAATTTGACCCTAAATGCTACACAACTCCTATATAGCCCCAAAAACCCTAAAGCGCTTGATTTAGCTCTTTCTCTAACATCTGAGGCCGTGGCACAGGGACGTGATGAACTTCGAAGCTCGAGAGCTCCGCACCGGGTCCCAACGGTCGACCCACGTACACCTTCCGCTGCTGAACTGTTTTTGGTTTTTTGGTTTAGGGTTTAGGGTTTAGGGTTTAGGGTGTAGGGTCCAGGTTTAGGGTTTGGGGCCTCGGGCTTAGGGAACTGACAGCGCAGGGTTTTGAGCTTAGGGTTTAGGGCTTCGGCACATCGCTTCCTGACATGGATTCAACCAATTACTCCGCACATTCAAACGGAACTGAGAACCCTTGCTTTGACAGGCCCTCCAATCCCCTAGGATTCAGGGTTTGGGGTCAAGGCCCTCCATTTTGAAAAAAAATTGTGCCTGCCCCCTATATACAATACTTCCCATTTCAATTCCCATGTTGTCCCTCTAATTCTCCGTGTGGCCGGCCACCCAGCATCTCGCAGTCCACAGTTTGGGAGGCTGAGTTATAAACAATCCCCGAAAATATGAGCTGTAATCTAAACTCCTAGCATCCCCCTTCATAACCCCGATACTACTCCCCTATATAATCCCCTATACACACCCCCCTTTAAGGAGTTTGGACTGCAGTTCATATGTCCCAAGTGTTTGGGGATTTGTTGGCCCCACCTGTTCAGCCTGGAAGAAGGAAGTCGGGAAAAACCGTAGCAGTGAAAATTGCAGGGATCCAGTAGATGCTTCTCAAGCATGCTGCTGCACGCGCGTCATTCTGAGAAACTGTAGAACCCTAAACCCCTAAAACCCCTTAAAGCCCTGAATCCTCAACTCTAAACCCCAAACTCAATGCCTCCCCTCGCCAAGGCTCCGGCGACAGAAACATTGAAGGGTGGCATAGGGTTCCTTGAGCTATGCGCTTTTGGTTGGCAACACAGTCTGGGGTTTGGGGTATAAGGTTTTTTTGTTGTGTTTTGTCGGGCCTTTTTCCGGGTATAGGGTTGAGGGCTTAGGGTTTAGGGTTTAGGGCTTCGGCTACACCACCGGAGATGTTCTGCATTGTGGGGGAAAGGACAATGAGCTGTGGGATTCCTAGATTTTACGGTACCAGACGCTCAAAACCCTGAGAAGGACCCGAAAGAGGGCCTAAGAATATGGTATGAATACTAATGATGACAAAGAAAAACGGTACTTGCAACAAGAATAAAGACCATAGATGTTTCGTAATAAACAATATCAGAAATGGGAACTATTGTCGTCTGGAGCCATCACTTCGAGAAAAACTCCTCCTTTGTTCCCCAAGAGTGCAAAGTGGGGAGGAAGGAAAAAATTGTGACGGCAAGATGGCTGCAGGGATTTTCTACAAAGTTCGGAAGAACTATAGTATACGCTGACCTACAGCCTCCAAGGTCCCTTTTGGCTAAAGGGAAGTAAGATAGTCTCCCGCAAATCGTCCAGAAGAATAAATTTCGTGTTGCGATACTGGTGGAACCCGAATACCTAAACTTATGGTGCCGGACTGTTACAAGAATCCTGAAAACGAGGACAACGAGTTGTGAAAAATGTGAAGCTGTGAATCCCAAATGCAAAGAAATGTGAAAACACTGAAACATTGGTGTCACATTTTTTGCGTTGTGCACATGTTTCACATTTTCTATAGAGATTTGAATTGGTTTCAACATGTTGGGGCCTCCCCCCAGATGGGAAGGGTTTGGAGGGATCTGGGGAGGGGCTGGGTTTTTCACATTGCTTGACATTTTTCACATGGCTCACATTTTGTCATTGTTTTTCACATGTTCATGTTTTTCAGTTTTCATGTTTTTCACATTTGTCATGTCGTTCACAGTTTTCATGTTTTTCACATGTTGCTAGGGTGGTCTTTACATTTTGGGACCCCCCAAATGAAAAGGGTTTGGAGGGTCTGGGGAAGGGTTAGGTTTTTCACATTGTTCAATTCATTTTTGGCATTGCTTTCACATGTTACCTGTTTTTGAATCATGTCACCTTGTAGGAGCCGGCACCATACCCTAAAACCTAAATATTAGGGTTTGAGGGCTCAGACTCAGGGTCGCAGGTTCAGACATGTGAGTCAAGCAGGGTCCGGAGCACTTGGACTCAGGGTCAATGTCAGGAGTTGAACGCTCACGGCTAGTGGATCATGAGGCAAGTTCGGGGTAGTAGATTGCACGTTTTGCCCTCACTTATGCATACGCAATCAAATAAGACATGCTTCATTGCTTATGGCGCCTGCAAAAGCATGTTGGCCTCAAGGCATTTGATTGAATTGTATCAGGAGTCACGTGCGAGTTCTCGCCTGATCTCTCCTCTCTGCATGTCGTAGCCAATGAAGTGGTACGCGCAGAGTTATGCGAAATAACAGTTGCACGTATAACTCTGGTTTGAACTACCGCGGCTACCATAGGCTAACAACAAGAACTTTAGTTCAGAGCTTCTAGCTTCCTGTCTGCAGCCAAGCCACAAGTGAAAGAAGTAGCCCGCCCATTTCCGCTCCACCAGGCAATGGCTGGGATCCTTTCTCAGGGTGC